AAACAAAAAAAAAAACAAACAACAGGAGGGGGGAAGGAAAGGGAAAACCAGCCTCCAGCCTCCGCGTAGTCGCCACCAAAATTTCTTAATTACAGCGAGCTAGGAAAGTCCTGTCTGGCAGCAGAGCCCAGATAAACCACCGCCTAACATGCAACCATTTTGGCAGGGAAAGAAGTGACCTAAGGCCAGAGCTTTTTTCTTTCTTTTTTTCCCTTTTTTTTTTTTTTTTAAGAAAATGATTTGTGCCGGGAAAAAAACAAATCGAGACATGGAAGATGGGCCAAACGCCGGTGCTGTTTAGCGGACTCCAAGCGTAGTCTTGGGAAAGGTACTTTGGACTGCCGCGGTTTCCAAAGCGTTGATCGAACAGAAAAAGCTACAACCCCTGGTCGGGCAGCCTGAGTGGTTGAGGGGGGACACAAGAGCTGCATTTGCTCTAAAACACTCTTTAGAAAGCGCAAAAACAACTGCTGGCGGATGGGAGGATATATATATATATATATGTATATGTATGTAAGATCCTCCTGGGTGTTTTGTCTAGAGATCCTCTTTCTCCAAAGCTGACCAAGAGGTGACGATGCTGGCTTTGGAGACTGGCGCTCTGATCGATATCTTCTCTACCTTTTATTACTTTTTCTCTGCCTCGTGTTTCCGTTTCCTTCATCATCGGAGATGCTATCGGAGTGGCCGCAGTGGCTTGCCGCAGAGGCTGTCACAGTTGCAGCCCAGCCTGCGGTAGACTGGAAAGCTCCCGCACAAACGAGGAGAGCGCGAAGAAGCACAACGCTGTCGGCCAGCAGAAACACCTCTCCGGCCTTGACAGCGCCCGCTGCTTCTTCACACGACGGAAAACATCGCAGCCAAAACACGGCCGGAGAGCGGGGGTGCCGCCAGCGGGGGCTGCGGCCCCGCACCCCGAGCTGCGGGGGAACGCCGCCCGGCCCAGGGCTCTGCCCGCACCTCTTGCCCTGAATCCGAAAAGCCAGGCTGGAGGCGCGTTATTTCCCGAGGATAACGCGATCTATGCGTGCGTCCGTATGTAGCTACAGATATCCATCAGCCGGTTTAGCACAAGCGTGTGTGTACGTATACGGTGTATGTGTGTATACAGCAGTTCTGCATCTGGACTAGCTTTTCACTTTCCGCACTCGGCTCACCCTCGGACGCGCACGCAGTCTGTGCGTACACCGACATATAAAGGCGCGTCTGCCCTTCTGCT